CCAACGCGGGGGTGCGCACCACGCTGCCTGGCACGGGCTTGGAGTTTGAGTAGGTGGTGACCCAGCTTCTCCGTGTTGGTCGTTTGGGGTTGTGCCTGGGAGTGAAGTCCGACTCCTGACCTAACTGGAGCTTCGGTCGAGTTGGGTCTGTGGCTACTGAGTTGGCTCGGAAGGGAAGGGATGCCGGTGGCTAGAAAGTGTGTGTACACACACACTTTGGCTCTGGGACCGCTGAGACACGTATCTCCGGGAAGTGAAGTTGGTCTCTGGCTAGGAGCAGTCATGCTGGGTGTGTGTAGGGGCCTGGCTGGGTGGGGTGGCGGGGGGCAGTTGTTAGCCCTGGTGCTGGCCTGGTAGCTGGCTGTCCAGTGCCGTGAATGCACTGCACTGGAGCCTCTGTGGGTGCCCTCTCTCCTGTGGTCTGCTATAGGGGTCTTCTCCCTTCAGAGATGGGGGCTGTCCTGGGGCTGATAGGAGTGGGTAGAGCTGTCTGCCAAATCCTCAAAAGTAGCCTTCCCCTCCCGCTTGACCTCAAAGTAGGGAAATTTAGTGCCTGCTGAGTGCGAGGGCCACCTTTCCCTATTTGTGAAGAGACGCGGGGCCTAGGCCATCAGAGCACCCCCCAGCACCCCCGCATCCCCTCTACATCCAGCCAGCCCCTGAGGTGCCTTTCCCTTTAGGGATCCTCTGGGGCCCTGCCACTCTCAGAATGAGGCTCATGTTCTTCCACCACCGGCTGATCTGCTCTTCCAGCGTCTCTGCCAGCTGTCGCCGAGTTTCGTCCCGAGCTGAGGATCCATCGGGTCTGGAGACAGGCCTTGGAAGCCCAGACTACCAGTGTGGCTTTCCCTCTTCCTGCGTCATCCTTTGTTGCACCCCACTTTCAGATCTAGTCATCCCCACATCTCTGAACCCCACTGCTGGGTCACCAGAGGTGATCATCGGTCTGTTGAACAAAGCATGATTGAGACTGTGGGGGCCAAGGGGCCAGGAGCTGCTGCAAGCACTGCTCTGGGCCCACAACTGCCTGCTGGCTGTAAGCTCCGTGTGGTCCTAGGGCCCGGGCTGGACATGGAGTCGGTGCTCATAGTGTGGATCTGAGCTTGGGTTCAGCTTCGCAGCAGCTTCCAGGCCAACAGGAGTTCCGGCCACTGCTGCTCTGGAGGTCTGTGGCTGCCTCTAGGAAGCATGGGAAGGAGGGGCGGGGTGCAGAAGGGTTGGCTGCCCAGGAAGTTCCGCTTTTACCTGAACACCTGTGCCAATCGCTCAGGACAGGTGAGGGTGCCTCCCTTCCCATGTTTGGGGGTGGGAGGGCAAAGCTCATGCTCTGTGTGTGAGGGGAGGGGGCCACTGTGCATGTCTGTGGTGGAGGTGAACTCCCCCTGAAGGCCAGGGAGCAGGGAGTACAGGGACCTGGGTTCTGGGACATCTCCTGAGGTCTAACGCTAGGCTACCAGGTCCTGAGATTTGACTTGTTGCTTGTTTAACTTGGAGGTAGAATTCAGGTTGGCAGTGTCTACGGAATGCCATTGTGCCAGTCCAGGGAAACCTCTGCTGGGTTTAAAAATCTCGTGGAGATTATGGACAAGCTTACAGCAATTATGTGGAAGGTTTAGCGTTTAGTAATAGTGAGTTTCTTGAGACTTATACCAAGCACCATCCCAGAAACTTCACTTGTATTAACTCACTTCATTCTTGAAAAGACAGAGTACGGTAGATAATGTGAATACCAGGGAGGTCACAGTGTAAGCTGGGTTTCCTCATTTCTAATCTAGATACTGCTGTCTTCTCGGAAGTGATTAAAGTTGATTACTACACCGAATAAGCCTGGCCCACCCCGGGACTAGTTAAGTCTAGTGCAGGTTGCCCTTATATCCCCTGCTTCTGAGAGCGTCTCATCTGTCTGGGCACATAGCAGGTACCCCTGAACCCCTCCTCATTGGCGATAGAGTTTTTGTCTCTCACACTGGGGGGCTGGGGAAAGGGAAGACGTGCGCTGCACAGAAAGTTGGCGAGTGTCTGTGACTGTCTAGATAGGTCAGGGTTTACTCTGGTATCAGTCCCCAAATTTCAGGGGCTTAAAGCAACAGAGGACTATTTCTTGCTCACACCACACCTATTGCATATCTGCTTTATGTTGTTCTCACTGTGGGACCCATGTGGATTAATTGAAACATTCCTATCCACGTGGACAGAAGGACAGAGAGAACGCTGAATCTCATTCAAGCCCTTGAACCTTCCACCTAGAAGTGGCATTTCAGTGCCCAAAGCAGTCACATGGCTATACTTACCTACAAAATGGGGAGGGGAAGAGGATTGAAAACATTTGGTGAGTAGCATGAATGCTGCCATCTGCCTACCACTGTGCCTTCCACTGGAACTTCTTCCCGAGGTCCACGTGTTACATGTTCCTGTGTCATCAGGAACATTGATCATGAATTAATCAAGAAATATTGTTTAGGTCAAAGATGAATTGAGGTGCCACATTTGAACAGCAGAGATGTGGACAAGAATGTATGTTAGGGTAGTGAGAGCTAGTGTGCAGAGGCAGCTTGCTCCTGGGCCCTGGGTGTAAGTTACTTGAGTTCTTAGGGTCGTCAAGTTCCTTGGGTCATCTTGTACTCATTCATTCATTCATTCATTCATTTGTGGGCCCAAGGACTAGTGGTGTGTCCCAGGCCAGGAATTCTTAACAAGCAGGTGCTCAGCTCCTAGCCTGGGCTGTGAACTGGGATGAGGATCCCTGCTCCTTGTTGGCCTTTAAAGAGTGAGATTAATGCCCGTGGGAAGGGAAGCAGGCTCCTGTTCCCCTCCCTGCCCTGGCACATCAGACCTTGGACTTCCCTGTGCTCTACTTGTATGTGGCCATGAGGGGCCTTTCCTAGAAGCGGGAGCATGAAGAGGCACCCCTATGGCTCTGCCCTTCCACTTCCACTTCTGGGTCTGGGCCTGGGCTTGCAGGCCTAGGGGTGCGGAAAGGAGGGGTGGTAAGGTTACGAAGGATGGAGTCACGTGGAGAACAGGCTGGCGTGCAGGGCTGGCTCCCTGGCTTGTAGAAGGGGGTAGAACCCCTTTGTTAATTGCATTTTTCATTTGGATCACCTTTGCCGGTAGTAAGGAGCTGGCCACACTCTGGACCTTGCTTTTGTGCTTTGTCACCGCTTGGTGCCATCCAGCAGGGCCTGGAAACACTGGTGGAATGGTGAGACCTCAGGTACTTCTCCGCCATGGGCTGCTCAGTATCCTTATATTTTTCCTTTTCTCTTGTCTCAGGGGCTCTGTTTTGTCATCTGGAATAGAGGGAGAGGTGATGGTTGTCTAAACAGTGGTCCCATTCTCGGTTGGTCATCAGAGTCCCCAGGAGACTACGTAGAGCAGGGCTTTGAAAATCTTTGGTCTAGGTCAGTGGTCAGCAAACTGCGGCTCTTTGGCCCTTTGAGTGTGGCTCTTCCACAAAATACCGACTTCTGCGCATGGGCCACGAAGTTTCAATTGCACTATACGTGCGCGCCCGCACGTGGTATTTTGTGGTATTTTGCCACGTGAAGATGAATAACACTGCTCACGTGTAGAGTGGATAGTGGTGAGGCAGCTTTTGAGCTGTGTGTGTCTACTTTCTGGCCGAGTGACGTAGGTAAGGCTTTGATTTTTATTTATTTTTCCTCCTGGACTTGGTTTTCTCATCTGTAAAGTGGGAGGAATCTGCCCTTTCGGCCTCTCTTGGGTCGCTGTGAAGCAGAGGCATGCCCTTCAGGTTGGAGAAGGAGAAGCTGGAGCCCTGGGTTAGGCCTGGCGCTGGGACTGCCGCCGCCCCACTGCCGACTCAGCAGCATGCTCACCAGCAGCTGATTTGGGAACCCCACTTCCTCTGCTCTTGGGCCGGGTGGGCTTAGGGGGCTGGGCCAAGCTGGGCAGTGCTCTGGTCTTTAGTGGTTCTCAACCTTCTGGCCCTTTAAATACAGTTCCTCATGTTGTGACCCAACCATAAAATTATTTGCGTTGCTACTTCATAACTGTCATGTTGCTACTGTTATGAAATGTAATGTAAATATCTGATATGCAGGATGGTCTTAGGCGACCCCTGTGAAAGGGTCGTTCGACCGCCAAAGGGGTCGCGACCCACAGGTTGAGAACCGCTGTCTTAGAGGCAGCAGGCCTGGTATTCTGAGCTTCAGCGGGCCTGGGCCGGCTGGAGTTAAAACTTCACTTCTTGAGGTCTGTTCTGCC